CCCCAAAACCCCAAAACCCCAAAACCCCGCTCTTTGGATTCAATATTGAAATCTATGAAGGTGTAATATTACTTCTAAAATCACTTAATTTCGCTTGTGGTACCCGGGTTTTATCTTTTGCCAAATCTAGACTCAAAATTCCCTAACATAGCTGGATTAATAGGCTTATCATCGACTTTTGCTGCCAGGGAAGGTTTGTTTGAATTAATCATTTTATTACTCTTCTCTTTATTTCCTCTGGAATACTTTTTCATGACTTCTTGGTAAGTTGGTTTATGGACTAGATATTAGAAATTAAAATACAGATTCCAAGATCAGTGCTCTCATCTGCTATAATTAGATTGGTGGCCAAGTCAGAGAACAGGAATTCTTTAGGATTCAGATCATAGTATCTGCGAGCAGTTTCACTGTCTTCTGGCCCTTCATAGTCAGGAACTGTTTCTTTCTTGAGTTTGAGAGTTTTATTTTGAAAGAGACTTTGAGTCTGAATAAGCATCTGAAAACTTTGTATCTTTTTCCAAATCTACAAGCTTAGTTTGACTAACTGACCCAAGGTTTCGTAATCAATCTTGTAGTGATCTGCGGAATCAAACTCTTGGAGGTCTAGCTTATATTCAAGAACTAGCATATCTTTCTCTTCGTCATTCAGAGTGATCTCTAAAGATAGTTAAGCTAAAAGATAGGCCTGTAATAATAAAAAAGGCAATTGCCAACACAAAGAAGTATATAGGCTCTAATCTTAACCTGGAAGGCTTTTGGCATCTTCATCTCCTATAGTAGACTGAAGTCTGAGAGTATTCTCATAGAAGGTCTTGGTATCAGATCTTGTCTTTGTAGCATTTTCGTTTTGGTCAAATGCATATGACATAATCTTTTCCACATCTTCTTCTGGAAACTCTTCTTCAAACATGTCAATTTCGGCTTCTTTCACTCCTCTACTAATGAAATTGAAATATTACTTTCTTCTGAGTTTGGTATCGCAATAGTCTATTTGGAGAGAGGCTTTCTTCAAAGTAATAAACTTCTCTTGTTTTTGTTCAATCTTAATATAGTTATCAAGCAATATAAGAAACAATCTTAGGTTATTTAATAATCAAAGAAATTTTCTTGAAATCATAACGATTCAAAACTAATTAAGGAAAAAAATTTCGGTGAAATTTGTACCAAAGACTGATAATATGAATCTTCATATTTCGAAGTATTCTGAGTGGTGTCTTACTCATTCGAGGTCTAAAATGTGACAACAGTAAGAATACCTTGCCAGAGTTGCTTATTAAAGCCGTCATCATATTCCTCTTCTTTATCTTCTTCTGTGGATTGGCTAATATAATTTATTTTGAACCTACAGTGCCTTCTCTTCTTTAGGTTTCCTAAATTTTCTACTATAGTAAGAATTTAGAGGTGAAACAATAATAAGAAACCTTATCGAGTTAACAATGAAAATATCAAAGATGTCCTTGCCATCATTTACTAGAATTATGATTATCAAAGAAGATTTAACTAGAACTTAAGCAAAGAATCCTTGAGATTGTGCAAATTTTATAAAACCTTGCTCAACCATCAGAAATTAACTTTAGATAGAAGGTAAGGCTACCTTTGTTGTGAAAACATTGAAGGAAAAGAATCATGAGGGTCACGCCTCTGTGATCTATAAGCCATCCTATCATAAATTTTCGGAGTAGGCTCTTCAGATACGTCAGCTTTGATTAGATATCTATCTTTTGGTGAGTGATCATTCTTATCACTAGAGCTTTTGTCCTAGGATTTAATTTAAAAGGTACTTGAGCAGAACTATTGTCTTGATTCATCTGTAATTTCGATTTTACTGGCGAGCTTACTAAAAATGTTAGTCACAACTTACAGTCATCAAGAGCTGAACTACTCTTTTTATGGTCCTTTTGATAGAGTTTATTTCCTTGCAAATTTATCTATTTTGAGGTACGCTATAGTTAATATAGCATAATACCAAGTTGTCTGTTGTAAGAAAATACTTCATTCTTTGAATTATTACCGGTTTTAGTTGTTCCTTTCTCTATATGCAAAAGTATGTTTAAGGTGACCTGCTTGAAAATTATCGTCACAAATTTAAATTATCAAAATGATCTTTAATGGGTTAAATATTTTGTAATGATAATCTTCTACCTACTCTAAATTTCTATATAATCAAGTATTGCCAAGAATTTCCATAAAAATAATATTAAATTCTTCGGTTCTAAAATTGAAAATTACCAGCTTCAGATTGGTTTATGCTAGCGTTGTCATCTTCTTCGAAGGAATCTTCAAAAGACTCATCCTCGAAAGACTCATCTTCAAAAGACTCTCCCTCAAGTCCATCGTCAAGATCAGATTCTATGCCCATTCCTCCAGGACCAGAGAGATCAATCTTGACACTTGGGCGTGAAAGATTTTCTCCTGGGGTTTCTTCCTCTTTATTTCTGATACTTTGTTTATAAGAATTGCTTGCTCTACTGCTAGGAGCAGGAGTCGGCTGCTTTGTCTCTACCTCTTCTACATATAGATTAACTTAGTAAAAGATACCTTTACTTGGTAGAAACTTGCTGATTGATTTTAAGAAGTTCATCTTGCTTAATTCAATTATTATATCTTATCTCGGGGTTTTGGGGTTTTGGGGTTTTGGGGG